TCTATTATCTCACTCGGCTTATACGTAAACGAAATTGCTCCCCATGTTTTTCTTATGGGAGTTAAATTTGGTTTTCATGATTTTCTTCGTTAGGCTAAACAAATCATGTTAACAATTTAATTTTTGAGTTGTTCTAATTCTTATAACGTAGTTTTCTAAAGTTATCTGTTGTAGCTGCCTAGAAATAATCGGACGTTTGTTTCTCCTTTAAAAATGTAATGATAATTATAGTAGTGTTAGTTAATTATGTTACAAGACTATGACAAATTGCCAATTATTGAGTCAACTTGGTCCCCACGCACAGGCTTCGCATATGTGGGCCCTGTCGATTTTCAGAAATTACGTTCATTCTGTCTCTATTATTCTTTTGTTATGAATTGCTTTTGATTTTATTTATTTGATTTAATTTTACTATGGTATTTTTCCGGACAAACTCCATTAAACATATAGCACGGGTCGAGGTTAATTTAACAACTTAAAACTAATTCATTCAACAATAGTTTACCTGAAAACTATTTTACTAATATTTGTTTAAAGTTTTACAGAATACACTTACACATGATGCTATTGTATGTTTTTATTTATACATGATATAGGTACTTACAACAAAACTTGTGAATTTTTGTGTTTATTTATACATTTATTGTATGGCAACAACGTAAACTTAAAGATAGAAGCGAGTGTATGCAATTCCAAGATAGAGTTTAGTAAGAGTATATTTCGTACCTAGTTCAGAAAATGACTTTTTTTCAGCTCGGGATCATTTTTAAGTTCGAGACGAAGATGAAATCGGTCCGTGGTACGATTGCTGTTTTTCACCAAACTATACAAAACTGAGAAAATATATCAATAATGTAGGCAAGCATGTTTCTTTACAACCTTTTTATCAGCTCGTGAACATCACAGAGAAAATATCCGCATATCGGTGGAAATGTATTTTCCTGTCGATCTATAGAATGCCTTTATAAATTAAAATAGGCTAAAAAGACATAAAAAAAGAATTACAAATGTTTAAAACTAACATGGGTTTAACGGGTTGCTATGCTGGTGACGAAATAACAACTAATTATGAAAATAAAATCAAAACAAATGGAACATATTCCAATCACATTTATTATTTACAGTGTATGTTAAATGGAGAAGTATGTGTAGTACATTGCATAGTTTTTGTCGAGTTTTCAACCGCTGGACCTCAACTTCATTGTACACTTCATTGTTCATTGATCACTGGGAAATCCATTGTAAACTATAGGATATGCACACTAATCAATGCAAATACTTTAAGGTTATGTGAAAAAATATTTAAAGGAATCAGCAAAAATAGTAATACATAATTGCTGGGCAGCGGTCTATTGCAATGCATTAGGGATATACTGCTTGTATATTTAATGATATATATAAATGTTTTAATTAAATAAGCGATTTTCGGTACTAGGGCTGGAAAATTTTAATCACAACTATAGCTGCCATTTCGACCCTGGACAGCAATGCGTAGCTTTCAGCCTCCAATTAACGTCTGTAAAACTACTAAAACATCGTATTGCGGTGAAAAATATTTGCCAATCATACTCAATCGACTCGGAACACTGCAGTTCCTGATTTAATTAAGGGTATTATTAAAAAGTACTCGTGCAGTAATCAATTAAACAGGGTAACGAATTGAAGGATAGATACAACTAGACTATAAGGACGCAAAATACGCGTAGGTACAACTAGACGTAGGGACTACTAGACGGAGGGACCACTAGTCGTAGAGACTACTAGTCGTAGGGACCACTAGTCGTAGGGACAACTGGTCGCATCCGTACAAGCTAGGTGATACTACTTGTCGGTGGGATACACGTCTAGTTGTACCTACGTCTACTTGTACCTACGTCTAGTTGTACCTCCTAAAAATCTGCAGGTACAACTAGTCGGGTGAGCCACCGTCTACTTGTACCTACGTCTAGTTGTACCTACGACTAGTTGTCTCTAGGCCTCGAGGTACAAGTAGACGGAGGGACAACGAGACGGAGGGACAACGAGACGCGGTCCCTGCCCTAGTGGCACCTCAGTGTAGGATGGTGGAGGACTGTATGGGGACAGAAAATAAGGTGACAAATAATTTAATATCTTGATGTTTTTTTTTTGTCAGTTATTGGATATGGAGAAATTTCCAGAAATAAAAAAATAAAAAATTCCCATGCTATTCTTATGGAGTTATAGTTAACATCTGATTTTCTCTCAATTAACATTGATCAATGTAACATTGGTCAAATCAATTAACATTGATTTTCTATTAAGTAAACTGTTGCAGCTTGCTTGTTGGATATATTTAGATCAAACTTGACAAATTTATTTATTTTATACTAAGCTATAATTATCTTACTAAAAAACACTTATTACCCTCCCTGTAGCTGCAAACCCAGGTACTCGTTAAACCTACTGTTATTAAAGTGGATTTAATTGAAAATCAAATCAGACAAATGGAAATTCGCTTAGTTTGCAGGTTTGCTGCGGCGGGGGTATTTCATTATTTTTTTTAGTTGGAGATAGGTAGTATGGTTAAAATGTTAAGCAGACGTTTTAACAAATATATCTTTGTCAGAATAATATTGACTAAGAAGCCCCCGTCTGCTGTGCATACAAGCGATACAAACCCTAAGGCAGGTTTATTACAGGATCATGTTCATATTAGGACTGCAGTATCGAGCGGCGAGCAATGCGCATTGAGATTGCACAATAGTGATCGGCTTTTACGTGGTTTGCACTCAAAACAGCTGATTGTGGATCCAGTAATCCTTGACTGATCAGGACACTTTCTGTCCTAATACAGGACTTGTTCTGACGGTAATCAGGACGATAAACTGTGAAATGACGCGACAATGTCACTTCACACGTAGGCCTACACACTCAGCTACTGGACATACGCGTCTTTGTTTACGTCATAGGAACGTTTATAACATCATAATATAGATTAAACAATAATAACTTAAAACCTGTCCACACACAATGTAATTTATGTTGGCTACTTTAATAAGGGGACCGCGCGTGAACACATGAAATCGTTTTATGAACATAATCCATACCGAAATCGCCACAGCAATTATGAAGGGTTAAGGGTATTAATTTGAAATAACAACTTCAACAATATTTCTGAATTTTTAATTTTTATGAGGCCTTTCGCCAGCTATGCTGGCATCATCAGACACATCACAAAACTGAAGGTTATGTTTATGTTTAAACATAAATAATTGTATTTTTTAAATACAATTATTTAAAAATAGGCTAGCGAAAGGCCTCATAATAATTAAAAATTCAGAAATATTGGTGAAGTTGTTATTTCAAATTAATATTAATTCCAATATTACCAGTTCTTCTTGAAGAAGGTTAAAATGGTGTTTTCGAGTGGGGTAGAAACACTGACACTGCCACAGCGGATTCCTTTAAGTTAGACGGGGAGAAACGGGAGACTTATAATTCCCATTATAGATGGTATGTCTACTTCAGAATACAATAGTCAATGATTGGGCAATGTAAATATGACATCGATCACATCGATTCCTAGATAATTAAGAAGGTAGTTAGGCAGTAATCATTTTTATTTAGGTGGAAATTATATATATTGAAAGTTATTAGTTAATTGAATGAGAATTCCACACTGCATGCGTAAGACAGTTGATTACTAAGATAGTTGTGGGTTTTAGTAGATTTGTAGGTTGAGGAAAGTAAAAAATTGTCGGTTATTTAGGCAACACGTGTGGCTACGAGAAATCGCAAAGACCTGTCTTTTTATTTCATAATAACCTGCGATATGACATACAAGATAGCTAATGAAACTTGTTTTGTTAATTATTCTGACTAAATTTTATATGATTTGATTTGTTTTATATTATTTTAATTGATATATTACTGCGGCTTTCTAAGGCAGTCAGGAAATTCACGAGAAGAAAATAAGTCATAGAAATGATTCACATATATATGTGATTTGCTCCTGAAACAATGTAGCTTTTAATATTTATGAGTTACGTGTCAAAAATACAAGTACCATAATAGGCCTATGTACACTTTTGGAAGAGGCTATCGAATCTCATATAGTTCCACCCCCACCCGATCTGTGGTCTATACTCTACGCACTCGGTTCAGCATGCTTTCTATCAGCTGTTATGTGACCGGTCAGCTGACGGTGTTATCGAGTCAACGTTCTTCCAAGGTCAAGGTGTCTGCAATCTGCATTCCACAAGTGCTTCTCTATTGTATCTACATGCTTACAAGACCTTGCTTCTGAAAACTATCACGTAAATTGATATTAAGATTAACTACGAGTTGTATTACTTCCGTAATAAGTAAAATTGAGGTTATAGTTCTGAAATTTCATTTAAAATTCCTGCAACGGTTCAATTTTGGTTTAAAATCGTGTAGATCTAGATTTTTGCAGTAAGCTAATGCAAAATTTATCCAAGTTTACTTAAGAAATTAGTGTCAAAAAACGTGCAAGAAAATAATTCTTGAGGGATATAGGCATACTACTTACTTCATTTGATGTCCAATGACAGCTTGAAATGGATAAAGTAAAAACTACCTGTGTACCAGCAAACCTAAGCTTAAAGCTGATTTACGGTTTCTTAATCAAGTTTTCATCGAAACAGGTTCGTAACAAAATTAAATTTACACTTAGGCTCATGTCTAATACAAACTACAACCGGCGCAATGGATTAATACTTGCATGCGTGTGTTCATTGAGTATACGGAGTATATATAGTCAATGGCATGTTTCTGTTGCGGTGAATGTGCAGTGTTTGGTGCTATGAATATCTCGGTGATCATCAGAATTGGAATAATAATGCACTAAAGTATCATTTTAATAAAATGTCTTTTAAAGTTAGAATCAATAGGGATTAAATTCCCTTATTGTTTTAATTTGTAAAATTGGAATGTCCTCGGCCGTTTGTTAACCAAAGACTGCGGCAGTAACTAACTACTTTATTCTATGTTATTTGCTAAAAATGAATTGTACTTACGTCGGTCAGCAATCCAGTTGTGCAAATTGAAGCTAACCTGGAAAAGAGATAAGAATCAAACTGGTGTCATCTATCAATACTATTATAAAGAATAGATTGTGTCTGTCTGTCTGTGTGTGTGTTTGTATGAGAGAAAATCAAAAACTACTGAACCAACTGGGCACAAATTGGACAAAAATAAAGCTACAGCTCCGAGGATACATATTCCCGCTTCGATATTAACCTATGACCACAGAAAACGTACTACTAGTAGTACGTTTTCTGTGCTACGACTCTGCCCGCGGGCTGTCAAAGTTCCGAGGTGAAAAAGTAAATATAGATTTTTATAAAAGATTTTTGCATAAATTGTATATTTTGTATTTCTGTATACCAACAATTGTAATCCTATATACATGGTGTAAAAAAACTCCCTGGAAAGATTTCACATATTACATTTTGTTCCTTGGCTCCAAACAATAAAAAAATAATATAAATATGGGTCTAAAATGCCTAGTTTTCAGTTTGTAAGTATGCGATTTTAACAATATATCCATAAATTTTGAACATCTTCAAAGTGAATTAAAAATTATATATCTGATACTTTGTGAAGATATTTATGATATCAGTCACCACTCCTGTACTAAATTTGAATTCAATCGTTTAAGAGGCCCAAATGCTATGGATAGACCACATTTTGAAAATCACATACATACAGCCATTTTAGACCCATGGTTATGATGTTTTATTGTTTCAACCCAAGGAACAAATTAACAAAGTTTTTCCAGGGTTTTTGCATACACTCTGGCAGACGATCGCCTATATACACAATGGTTTGGGATACATATTCCAAAGACCGGTTTGTTTCATGGATAAAAGTCTAACTCTACGTTTGACATTGCCAGTACAAATTGTAATTATATTTCCTACCCAGGCTTATAATGATGTAGACTAGCGAGCCTACAATATTGTTTGAGTTGAACACTGTAGTGCATGAACTGGTATTAGCAACAAACTGCTATTGCATTATAGAGAGGTCAATAGTGCATTGTTGTCAGGTACACCACAACTACAGAATACTGTAAGCAACAGACACACGCGCGCGCACTCGTTAGAAAGTGAGTCACCATCGAGATCGGCTAGTTGCCGTATTTGGATATATTTTTATGAGTATGCTAATAATATTCTGTCCTTGCGGGACCTAAAGTGTCAGGTCATATCCCCCTAACTAAACTCAACCAGGATTATGATTTAAGTTCAACTATAAACGCTAGTGCAGGCTGGCGATTTAAATTTACACGTTCAACATAATTTGGTTGTAAACCCCTAACTCATGCTACAGTTAGGCTACAAGTGTGTAAGAATTTACTGGGCCTGGAATCAGTCTGAAATCAAAAACCTATTACAAGATATAAATAATAGAAACATGCTAACAGAATATTTTGCTGAAAAGTTTATTGGACTTATTGCGCAGATAACAACAAAATAAAACCATAAACATACTTTTAAAACCCACACTTTGTAATTTTTGTGACTCTTTTAAACGCCTTCAGCAACTTTTCAAAACTGAAAATAACTATTCCACACATTGAAGCATAATAGCAATAATAAAAACTCATTGCAAAATGCAAACCACTTGTTCTGTTTTTCCAAAACATAAAGTTAATTAACTAATATAGTTAATAATAAAGTTATTTTTTTGTTAAAGTATAATTTTATAATAAAGTTAATTTTGCATCAAGCAACTTCACATTTAAAGACTGTGGTGGCTGATTAAAGACAGAGGAATTTATCATTGATCATTAACCATTCTATACAAATTATATTGATATCACGGAGAGTTGCATTGCAGATAAAAGAGTGAGGATAATAAAAAAGGTCTAGACTAAGAATGTTGATGGATAGAAACTCTGCTGTTCATGTATCGAACATCTAAAGAATATTAAGATGTGCAACATTTCCAATGTTCTAGAAATGCACGAGTTGGTGCCTAGTAGAACGGAGACTTACTGATATAAAAGTACAGGATTGGAATCATTCTATAACATTCAAGACAAATTACCTGAGTGGACGAGTAACAGTTTCATGAACAGAACTAAATGTAACAGATATTGCACATTGTGTTATAACTGATCAGCCAATCGGACCAACAAAGTGAAACTGTTGGGATGAGTTGCAAGGACCATGGACCACTGGATTGTAGAGGTCGGATTCATACAGACAATACGAGAAGAGGTTGAACAATAACATGTGATTATAACAAGTAGTGAGAGTGTGGTTGTCTGCCTACTGTCGTCGTCTGTCGTCTGCTAGGGCGGGAGTCGTGTGGAGGCGTCAACATATGACTGACAACTTGGACAAGATTTAAACATTCGATTAATTTGCATAAGTAGTCAGGGCTGCAAATTTGTGTAAATTTATATGTTAAAATTCGATTGCCTTAAAACTAATTAGTTACACTGTAAAATCCTTGTGTTTTGATGTAAACAATTGCAATTTGATGAAAGCCTACTGCAAAATGGGGTGTTTTAAACTTCCATAACATAAAATAAAAACGTAGACTCAGACTGTATGTTATTGACGAAACACTTTCAGAAGTGATAAGTAAGCCTAAATCTGAGTAAAAATGACTTTGAAACGCTAAGTAGTATGATAACCAGTAAACCTTAAAGAGAGATTCCCTAGCTTGAAATATTTCAATTGGCGAAATTTTATAAACTACTGTAAGTCGATATTAAATCCAATTCATTATTAGTTATTGGATTTAATATCGACTTACAGTAGTTTATAAAATTTCGCCAATTGAAATATTTCAAGCTAGGGAATCTCTCTTTAAGGTTTACTGGTTATCATACTACTTAGCGTTTCAAAGTTATTAAATGTAATAGCCATTATATCTTAAAGTTTGTGACCATGGGTTCTATAACTTCTCTTTGCCATTTTAAAACTATTTTATACTGAAGATAATGTCCTTCCAACTTAAACCTTTAAATGAGTGAGTTTTCATTCTGAATGTGTGCAATAAATTCTAAATAATGTAAATAATTACTTTGTCTTTTCACTTCTACCAATTAACTACTGTTACCTTAGAGGGTGATGTGTCAATTTGTAAAATCAACTATAAATGATTCCTAAATATGTTCTGAGATTATAATATGCAAATCGTTTTGATCGGAAGATAGTATTTACTGATGTTATTTAACATCAGTTAGACAAAGATACACGTTTAGACAATGCTGGAGTTCACTAATTTATTGTTTGTAAACATTTTAGAATGTCATTAAAGAAAATTGACTTACATATCTGTGAAGTATTTCATCATTATTTATATGCTCTACTATAGTAAATACTCTATAGTCAGTGATTTCATATAAAACGTAATGACTGTATGATCTAAGTCAGTATTAGCTGCAAAACGTAACCGTAAAAGTAGAATTGTCTATAATTGGAAGTAATATACATTAATCAGCTCATTTTACTTTCGGTTACTGTGTCAACATTTGCAAGCATGCAAGTATGGAAATTACTTTCATTCATCGTTCATCTACTCAAGGGAAGGTATGGCATTGTAGTGCGCTGCCATACCCAAAGCGTTTCAGCGAGTACGTCCCTCATATGCAGTACTGTTTACTGCAGTTTGATAAGAGGGGTAGCACGTATATGTTTGGGGGTCGCGGTACTGCTACGTATAGTTTTAAGTTAACATAGGCAGGCCATTTTAGAGGTTATTAACTAACACATGTCCACTAGTTTGTTGTTTAATGAATGAACCTGAGACTTGCTTTTGCGAAATGGTTGAAAACACACGATACTACAATATCAATAAACCTAATAATAAGAGATACAATATTGAAATAAACCACAGATTAAATTGTGTAGACAAATATTGAACAAATAATTTTCCAATTCAATAATGAAACTAATACGAATATTGATTTGAATCGCAGACATTTTAGTTATTGTATAATTATCAAGGCAAACGCAAACCTTAAACAATTTAAAATCACAACCTTCCGCAAAAACGCACAAATGGTTACACTTAATAATATTGAAGTTGCTCGAAGCACAGAAAGGTGATAAGACTTACCAGTGGAGAGAGTGACTTAGACACACACGGTACGCGGTACGGACAGTGAATGTTAGAGCGAGCAGCGTGCAGCGCGACACTCCCCCACCGCTGACGAGTGCATCAGCATCCTGCAGCAACAGGGGGAGACACGTGCTACATAATTGACTTTGTATCTAGAGGTGTCAACCAAAAATACCCACATAGTCTCAAATCTGCCTTGTTTTGAAATGAATGTAAGTATTTCTAGGATAGTCCTACAAGTATTAATATAGTTTTTTGATAATTTTCTATACGTGGGCTATGAAATAACATGCCAGTAACAACAATACAGTTGTATTCGTTTAATTGTTTAGCTATTTTATTTTTTGTTACTGAACCAATTCCTTTAATAGAAATAGGTACGGCTATATGTACATGTTATAGGTTAAGTTTGTTCGTTTGTTTATTGAAATATTTGTTTGTTTAGTGATCACTAGCCACCCTGGTTCCATTGACGTCTGTTATAGGCATGGATGTCTACTTATAATATACTATACATTTAGTTACATACTGACCAGTTCTACTAGCGTAGATTCCTGGAACATCAAATTGCTTAGAAAACGTTGGTAATGTGTAACGTTTAGCTTTTGAATGCCTTTTGTCTCCTTTACACAAAGGAAAAAAGAAACAAGAATGTTGAAAGTGTGCCGAAGAAATATATTCTTGAATTGCCTGATCATAATTCTCCTAGTGCTCCTAGAGGTAAGAAATTTGCATATAGATAGAATACTGAAGTTTGTTTAGTTATCTAAACTGAGGCTAGCAATTCTATTAAGGGCCAAAAATATAACTTTTTCAAAGAATTGGAGATGTACTTGACTCAATGCCTGAGAACTACCACAACTAGCATTACCGTATTTGAAAGCTTTAGGAGGCAATGCATTGACCCCAATACGAAATGCTGATCGTTCCCGCCAACAGTGACCGACACAGATACTATCAGCTGACATATCCCGCGTAGTGATGGAGAGTGGCGCCAGTGGTAGCCATCAGCTGGTATAGTATCATCATTGAATTTGGGTACTGATACTTTGCTACTGCAAGTAACCTCCTGTAGAAATAGAATCCTGTTTTTACGTAACTTATGTTTTATGGAATAACATTGAGAGAAAGTTTTGTCGTGGATTCTGACCGAATTTTAATTGTTTTCTTCAAATATTGTGCAAATATAACATTCTATTTCATTACAATTCTTAATAATTAAAATTAAAATTAGAATGGTATATTCTATAAAGTACCCATGAACTTTTGAGAAAACCACAAGTCACACCCCCATAAACCATACTGTATACTTAAAATGTTCGTCATGACGAGAAACCTTGCTCAAAACCAACCATTTTTTTACGAATTGCCCTTTAAGCTCATAATTGCTTTAAAAAGAGAACGTTCCATATACTTAATGTTAACAATACCTCAGCTGTTCTTATTTGTATGTTATTCTTTCAACTTATTACCTGATTATTTATTTGTAATGCTGCATTCTGTTTTGTTTATTTCAGCTTAACTTAACCAATCAATAGTTTTATTAATACTTATGAACTCAAACGGGTTGAAGCCCGTGGGTAACAGCAACAGCTAGTAGGTATACATTGAAAATGCCAATGCACTAAAGGGTTACCCCCATAAGCTTACATTTAAATGGTCTACAGCTGATACAAAAGGACCAAGATTGCAAATAGACAGGTGTGTTTTATCCATGGTAGCATACATACTTAAAATTATAAAAAAGTATTTAATACATTGTTTGTTCAGCAATAGGTATAAACATCTGGTTGTGCAATTCATTGCGTAAATAAAAAGGAAAGGCGTTAATCAGCGTAGGGACATGAGTAAAATTCTTACCTAGTGCAAGAGTTCATTCACAGGTAAGTAATGTTACTTCTTGATAACTAAAAAAATATTTGTCGTGTTAGCAAAATTCCATTTTAGTTGAGCTGTTTACTTTTCCTCTCTTCTTGAGATCTCCGAGAAGTGTTGCAAGGTAGGTCCAGCTACTTGGTGTGCAAAAGGCGCAGAGGTCGACCACTTCCAATATGGCCGCGTCCAGGACAAATTGAACTGACAAAAAGTCCACTTTCACTCCGTGTCACTGTATCACGATCTAAAATTCTCATTGTTTGAGTTCATGTTGAACATCTTCAACTGTTCAATCCCTTGCTGAGTTATCTGATCAGCCACGTGCAGTAAACTCTATAACTCTACTGCCACCTTTTGTAGTCAGCTACAACCGTTTTGGCTTCTTAGGATCTAATCGGTGATCTTATTGAAAATGACTTGGGAAGCAACATAGATATGGTATATTATTAACGTATATTGTTAGTCCACAATCAGCAAAGATACTTTCCTTATTATGGCACTATTCTACTTTTTTTATGAAGACCAATAAAAGAATCAGCTCGAAACATAAGTACAGAAAAACATTTCCATTTCTTAATCTTGATATTTGATTTTTCCCATTTAAAGAACACTTACTAAGATAATCCAAACATAATCTTCAACCAAGGAATACACTGACCTGTTTGCATATTCGAAGAACTGAACAACATTTAAATCCTTTGAGAGATTGTCTTTCCAGCTGTTGTCTGACAGTAAACACTGACCACCAGAAGCGCCTCTCAGCTGATCATATATCTGCCGGTCATCTGGCACTCGTCATCTGGGTCAAAACATCGCTACTCGCTCAAGAACGCACGCGTTGTTGTTATATCTCGCCTTTTAAACTTGGTATTGGCTAGAGTGTTCGTATTTGAAAAAAAAAACAGCTGTAGGAAATCGCATTTTGTCCTACATTTCTTTTCGCTGTGATGCACCGTTGACCGTTAGAATGAAGTCCACCTTTATCCTGAGTCGCTCAAAAGCTAAATGGTTATCATCTGTTAAAATCACAATTACTTAATGAATACTCGTGATCGTGGTAGAAGCTCTATTACAAAAATATAGAGGATATAGAGTTATTTACCTATAACTCTATCAAATCAGAATCTGAATACTGTTCAGTGATCGACCTCAGAGAGTCCGTCAACCTCCCAAATCTCTTGAGGATTATGTAACTTTTTATGCTGCAAGTGATGATGATTGTGCTAAACCTCAACTAAACCGTTACGGGCGCACATGAAAAGAGCCCAAAAACTCAGGCAGACGCTTGAAAAGCGCCCGGACCTCCAAGGTCCCAACCAGGACGGTGCGAAAAGAGCCCGGTCTCTTTCTAGAACTTTCACAACGGGTCTTCAAAATATAAAGAACTAATCACACAGTTAAATTACACGAAATTATTAAAAAATACACTGTTAATATATACATTAATAACATATATATTATTCAAAGATATTTACATTACTAAAAGATATAGTCTGTTTACCTAACCTAACCTAACCTAACCCAACCTAACCCAACCTAACTTAACCTAACCCAACCAAACACAACACTATTCACTAAAACACTACTATATATACACAATACACACAATTTATAGTCAGCTTCCTCCTCCTCAGGTACCTGTGGAGACCCGGGCTCTTTCCATGTTTAAGATTAGTGAACCTTTTTGAGGATTAAAATTTCGGGCTCTTTTCATGTGCTCCGACCGTTACAGCTCCGTACGCCATTTAATGGCATTAGCTGCTGAAAAGAGCCTTGAAATAGACCAAAGGGATGCTGTCTGCATTATCTGCATTTCCTCAAGAAGAACCCTCAGATGAAATATGCACGAATCAACCTAAACATGAAATAGCCTCTCGTAAGTTGAAACAGAAATTACACTCCTGTTTGATTAGAGTAGGAATGACACAGTCAATCTTTGATTCCAGTGTTTATCACTTAGTGAAAAATTGGAGGATGTTAATCGTTACAGCCTGGGAGGACAATTTAGTAGTTTTTCACAATGATAAACATCTCAAAGAAATCCTTAAGACACGAATCCGAAAGAATTCAAAATGAAAGATATGGGGACAGCAAAATTAAAAACAATGGAAAATTTTCTGATGATAACACAAGACAAAGACAAGCTCATGAAATGTATCAAGGAGCAAGGAAAATGCAAGTTAGGAGGATGTTGTAATGTCTAACTTTCATATTCATCTTGCCTGCCTAATTTGTTTATAACATATGGTTAATGTTATATTTCTATACTGTTATGAGTTAGTTTATAGTTTGACCTGTTTACATTCAGTTGTTGCATTCTATCTTACTAGTGGCTTGAAGGGGCAATAGCCCCTATATATATTCTAGTAATTATTTTGTACAATTTATTAGTCTCATGGGTTACCCTACCTTGATTGTAGTTTAAGATTTTGTATATTATAATATGTATAATAGTTATTACATACCTGTATAAAGCATTTTGATGTCTGCTCTGTTAAAAATTAAAATTCCAAAGGACTTTTCATGCCCCCAAATTATCATGCCCAGACCTTTAACATAAGACCTCTCCCAGCTTTTTACGGCCTCCCGTTCCCTCACAATTTCATTGTAAAATGTTGGGCTTACGGAGTTAGATATATATATCGTATGTGAAAATTTCCCTTGTAAACTGAAATGGCATATTACGATCTGTAGTTATTAGTTTTATTTTTGGCCAGAAAAATTGTTCACTTTGCTTCTCAAGTAATTACTACTAATTTTACACTTTTTTTAGACATAGGTACCTAACACAACCAATCGTACTCCATTAACTAATCCAGACCCTAGGTTAATATTTCTAATGAGCATTACTATTGAACCAACTTTTAAAACTAATTTGTGTTAAATACGGTTGTATATAGTCAATTAGTATTTTAAACCTCTCTTTAGGGTTAGTATACATTTTACAGTACATTACATACTGTATTACCATATGCTTTAAATAAAGTTAAACCACATGTTTTAAAGTAAACAAAGCAGACATGACATAGATTCCCATGTTATTTAAATGTGAATTATTTTATTCCCTAAGGACCTTTTGGTGCATAATTAAGAAAAATGAATAGTTTTCCCTCAAAATTCACGTCAAGACCTTTAAAATAAGACCCCTCCCATCCTTCTACGGCCATC